CAGGTGCTGTGATCAGGTGCTGTGTTCAGGCGCAGTGTTCAGGTTCTGTGTTCAGGTGCTGTGTTCAGGTGCTGTGTTCAGGTGCTGTGTTCAGGTTCTGTGTTCAGGTGCTGTGTTCAGGTGCTGTGTTAAGGTGCTGTGTTAAGGTGCTGTGTTCAGGTTCTGTGGTCAGGTGCTGTGTCCAGGTGCTGTGTTCAGGTGCTGTAGTCAGGTGCTGTGTTCAGGTGCTGTGTTAAGGTGCTGTGTTAAGGTGCTGTGTTAAGGTGCTGTGTTCAGGTGCTGTGTTCAGGTGCTGTGTTCAGGTGCTGTGATCAGGTTCTGTGTTCAGGCGCAGTGTTCAGGTGCTGTGTTAAAGTGCTGTGTTCAGGTGCTGTGTTCAGGTGCTGTGTTAAAGTGCTGTGTTCAGGTGCTGTGTTCAGGTGCTGTGTTCAGGTGCTGTGTTCAGGTGCTGTGTTCAGGCGCAGTGTTCAGGTTCTGTGTTAAGGTGCTGTGTTCAGGTGCTGTGTTCAGGTTCTGTGTTCAGGTGCTGTGTTCAGGTGCTGTGATCAGGTGCTGTGATCAGGTGCTGTGTTCAGGTTCTGTGTTCAGGTGCTGTGATCAGGTTCTGTGTTCAGGTGCTGTGATCAGGTGCTGTGATCAGGTGCTGTGATCAGGTGCTGTGTTCAGGTGCTGTGTTCAGGTGCTGTGTTCAGGTTCTGTGTTCAGGTGCTGTGTTCAGGCGCAGTGTTCAGGCGCTGTGTTCAGGTGCTGTGTTCAGGTTCTGTGTTCAGGTGCTGTGTTCAGGTGCTGTGTTCAGGTGCTGTGTTAAGGTGCTGTGTTCGGGCGCAGTGTTCAGGTGCTGTGGTCAGGTGCTGTGGTCAGGTGCTGTGATCAGGTGCTGTGATCAGGTGCTGTGTTAAGGTGCTGTGTTAAGGTTCTGTGTTCAGGTGCTGTGTTCAGGTGCTGTGATCAGGTGCTGTGTTCAGGTGCTGTGTTCAGGTTCTGTGTTCAGGTGCTGTGATCAGGTTCTGTGTTCAGGTGCTGTGATCAGGTGCTGTGATCAGGTGCTGTGTTCAGGTGCTGTGTTAAGGTGCTGTGTTCAGGTGCTGTGTTAAGGTGCTGTGTTAAAGTGCTGTGTTAAGGTGCTGTGTTCAGGTGCTGTGTTCAGGTGCTGTGTTAAGGTGCTGTGTTAAAGTGCTGTGTTAAAGTGCTGTGTTCAGGTGCTGTGTTAAGGTGCTGTGTTAAAGTGCTGTGTTCAGGTGCTGTGCTCAGGTGCTGTGTTCAGGTGCTGTGGTCAGGTGCAGTGTTCAGGTGCTGTGTTAAGGTGCTGTGTTAAAGTGCTGTGTTAAGGTGCTGTGTTCAGGTGCTGTGTTCAGGTGCTGTGCTCAGGTGCTGTGGTCAGGTGCAGTGTTCAGGTGCTGTGTTAAAGTGCTGTGTTAAGGTGCTGTGCTCAGGTGCTGTGTTCAGGTGCTGTGATCAGGTGCTGTGATCAAGTTCTGTGGTCAGGTGCTGTGTTCAGGTGCTGTGTTAAGGTGCTGTGCTCAGGTGCTGTGTTCAGGTGCTGTGATCAGGTGCTGTGTTAAGGTGCTGTTAAAGTGCTGTGTTCAGGTGCTGTGTTCAGGTTCTGTGTTCAGGTGCTGTGTTAAGGTGCTGTGTTAAAGTGCTGTGTTAAGGTGCTGTGCTCAGGTGCTGTGATCAGGTTCTGTGTTCAGGTGCTGTGATCAGGTGCTGTGTTCAGGTGCTGTGTTAAGGTGCTGTGATCAGGTTCTGTGTTAAGGTGCTGTGTTAAAGTGCTGTGTTCAGGTGCTGTGTTCAGGTTCTGTGTTCAGGTGCTGTGTTAAGGTGCTGTGTTAAAGTGCTGTGCTCAGGTGCTGTGATCAGGTTCTGTGTTCAGGTGCTGTGATCAGGTGCTGTGTTCAGGTGCTGTGTTAAGGTGCTGTGATCAGGTTCTGTGTTCAGGTGCTGTGGTCAGGTTCTGTGGTCAGGTGCTGTGATCAGGTTCTGTGGTCAGGTGCTGTGTTCAGGTGCTGTGTTCAGGTGCTGTGATCAGGTTCTGTGTTCAGGTGCTGTGATCAGGTGCTGTGATCAGGTGCTGTGTTCAGGTGCTGTGTTAAGGTGCTGTGTTCAGGTGCTGTGTTAAGGTGCTGTGTTCAGGTGCTGTGTTCAGGTGCTGTGTTAAGGTGCTGTGTTAAAGTGCTGTGTTAAAGTGCTGTGTTCAGGTGCTGTGTTAAGGTGCTGTGTTAAAGTGCTGTGTTCAGGTGCTGTGCTCAGGTGCTGTGTTCAGGTGCTGTGGTCAGGTGCAGTGTTCAGGTGCTGTGTTAAGGTGCTGTGTTAAAGTGCTGTGTTTAGGTGCTGTGTTCAGGTGCTGTGCTCAGGTGCTGTGGTCAGGTGCAGTGTTCAGGTGCTGTGTTAAAGTGCTGTGTTAAGGTGCTGTGCTCAGGTGCTGTGTTCAGGTGCTGTGATCAGGTGCTGTGATCAAGTTCTGTGGTCAGGTGCTGTGTTCAGGTGCTGTGTTAAGGTGCTGTGCTCAGGTGCTGTGTTCAGGTGCTGTGATCAGGTGCTGTGTTAAGGTGCTGTGTTAAAGTGCTGTGTTCAGGTGCTGTGTTCAGGTTCTGTGTTCAGGTGCTGTGTTAAGGTGCTGTGTTAAAGTGCTGTGTTAAGGTGCTGTGCTCAGGTGCTGTGCTCAGGTTCTGTGTTCAGGTGCTGTGATCAGGTGCTGTGTTCAGGTGCTGTGTTAAGGTGCTGTGATCAGGTTCTGTGTTCAGGTGCTGTGGTCAGGTTCTGTGGTCAGGTGCTGTGATCAGGTTCTGTGGTCAGGTGCTGTGTTCAGGTGCTGTGTTCAGGTGCTGTGATCAGGTTCTGTGTTCAGGTGCTGTGATCAGGTGCTGTGTTCAGGTTCTGTGGTCAGGTTCTGTGTTCAGGTGCTGTGTTCAGGTGCTGTGTTCAGGTGCTGTGATCAGGTTCTGTGTTCAGGTGCTGTGGTCAGGTTCTGTGGTCAGGTGCTCTGATCAGGTTCTGTGGTCAGGTGCTGTGTTCAGGTGCTGTGTTCAGGTGCTGTGATCAGGTTCTGTGTTCAGGTGCTGTGGTCAGGTTCTGTGGTCAGGTGCTGTTGTCAGGTTCTGTGTTCAGGTGCTGTGTTCAGGTGCTGTGGTCAGGTGCTGTGTTCACGTGATATCAAGATCTATGGTCAGATTTTTAATGGTCAGGGTATGTGTCCAGGTGATAAATGACATATTTGATAATACTTTAAGAACTCCAAATCATGGTTATGAACCTTTAGAAAAGAAAATGTTTTGGAAACTTGATTAATTTTTTTATACAAAATGTTGCAGCCACTATAGAATATGTTCGCCACTATTTTTATTCAATTATCCAAGGGCTAAATATAGAGTTGGGTGTAAGATCGAAAAGACACACATAAATATGTATTTGGCGATACTTGATATTTTTTCTTGAGATATATCTTGGTTTTATATTGGGTGGCTAACAGATTCTAGAATCGCACTAAAATGCCTCCGTCGCAATAAGGCGTGTGAGTTGGCATGACTTACAGACGTATGTCAGCACGTTTGATAAACTTACAGACAATTGTCTGAAGGCCAAATTGTCGGAAGTACCCAGTGGTGTACGTCATTGGAGAAGAAAATGTTATTCACCTTCGTAATGGGCCGAACTCATGCTCACAGGCAGTTGGAAAGGAGTTTCGTTTTCGGTGTAATTGTGTTGAGTAATAGGTAAGGGCTGGAATCCATCTACCACTACCTCTGGCAGTGGGAAGAAAAACAAAGATTTGATTTGGAGGAATCCCAGCTAGTCTGTGAAATAAAGAAATTGATTCTTGGCGTTCAATCTGGCAGGCTGCACAGGAGAGATTATGTCATTTTAATGACATTTTAATGTTTTTATTTATATTGTATGGATTTTAATACATTTCGATTCAAGGGTATGAAATCTGAGAGTGAATATATTTTATTAACTTTTGATGAAGGAATCGAAAGATATGTTTATTTTCATCGTCAATTTGAGGACAGAATAGTGTAGACATACTGTTTGAATATTCGCTTGGCATGCGGCGTTCTTCATGACGTCCTAGCTTCCATTTATTATATTCAGGAGATATATGAGAATGGATATTTTCCTTTTCACATGAAACTTCTTACAACGGAGGGTGGTCCATAATTTGGGGGTGTTTATGGGGAAGCCATCTGATTTAAACAAATTTGTGGTCACTAAAATTCACAGATATTTGCGGATCCGCAGAAGATTCTCACCCCTGTATATTTCACATTTTAACATTTGGAGAAACAGTCAGGACTGTCTAAAGTTCTATTCACAATGTAAAAAGTATTTGCTCAAATTAAACAAGTAAGATCAATGTCTATTTTTGTCACTCTGAAGTATTTGAGAGCCATCAGCTCTCCTTTTTTTTCTTTTTTGTTGTTGGACTTAATTAAAGATTGATGAAGTTTTGTTTCCAGATCATGACTCATAAACTGTTCAATATATCTCAGCTATATTCTGCAAGCACGCTGTTAAACTGGTGGCTTTTCCTTTTCAGGATGTTTTCGTAATATTTTTTTTTATACATTTCCAAGGTAACAAGTAGGACTTCAAATAAGGGCATGGTTCATTAGGTATTTCTGCAGTGTGATATTGCTGCTAACCTGACCAGTTTACCCCAGCCATAGTTGGTTTGTTGTTTAACGCCACACTCAGCAATATTCCAGCTATGACAGCGGTCTGTAAATGGTCTGGACCAGACACTCCAGTGATTGACATCATGAGCATCGTTTCACACAATTGGGATACGATGACATGCATCAACCAAGTCAGCAAGCCTGACCACCCGATCCCATTAGTCGCCTCTTACGACAAGCATAGTCGCCTCTTACGACAAGCATGGTCGCCTCTTACGACAAGCATAGTCGCCTCCTACGACAAGCATGGGTTGCTCAGCCATAACCTGAGTGTCTTTATGTTGTTATTCCGTTGTTACAAGACTGTTGTTGTTGTTGTTCCAGGTCTACTGGCCCCTCAGTGGATGAGGTCACGGAGAAGATGAGCAGCACATCAGGTGAGATGCAGGTTCAATCCTCCATGTGGTGGCTGAACCCCAAAAGTGTTCACAGTTAATTACAGTACATTTCAATAATAAGCAACTGCAAAATAAGTTGCGACTTAAACGGTCACCAATGCGACCGAAATTTCCGTTTGACTACTGTCTAAAATTCAGAGGTAGCCAAATGACTACCTTGAAAAATATCTTGTGGTTAAATTCTATTGCTTTACATTTGAAGACACAAAAATAAATAACAGCAGATTGTGGAAAACATGTCTGCTAATAGTTGTACTCGCAAAAAATTCCTCCTAAAGTCAACAATGAACCAAAATACATAAATACTACTGTAATTAGTACTTTATTTTAGTAGACAATTCCCGATTCCAAACATTGGTACAATGTGTGAAGCCCATTTCTGGTGTCCCCGCTGTGATATTGCTGGAATATTACCAAAAGCGGTGTAAAACCATAGTCACTCACTCACTCACTCACTCACTCACTCACTCACTCACTCACTCATAAATTGTATCATTCGAGTCACAAGTAACAAAAATCAAGTACAGTTTCCACTAAAAAACAATTCCAAGACTAGTGCTATGACTTGTACATTATGATAGTTATTTGATAAAAGATATTTTCAAATGCTATTGGCTACCTACAATATTGGCTTGACTTCTTGATTTTAACACTGGCTACCTGGAAAAAATACTTGTAGCCATATGGCTACTTGATAGAAATTTAAACTTTGAGGCCTGGCTTTCTGGATAATTACTATTGGAAACAATGATTTACTAACTGAACGTACTAATTTGCTGTTATCCAAACTTACAAAATGTATATTTATATTGGACCACTTCTGGGGTCTAGCGGTAGAGCGTTGGCATGGAGAGCCAGATTGGGTGTTTGATCCCCAGCCGCATTATACCAAAAGATGTTAAAAGATGGTACTTGTTGTTACCCTACCTGGTGCTCGGCATTTAGGGGCTCAAACAAGGGCTGGTCGGCTCAGAGTCAGTATACTGTGTCTGAGTGGGGGTATTTATGTTAAACTGCAACTTGGTATCTGAATGGGCTAGCACTGTAAAATCAGCATTAGTCCGGACTAGTACAAGCAACCACATACACACAAGCACACACGTGCGTGCACGTCACTATATAAGTGAAAAAATCCCATTTCACCTCACCTCACCTCACCTCACCTCACCTCACCTCACCTCACCTCACCTCACCTCACCTCACCCCACCCCACCCCAGTCCACCCCACCTCACCTCACCTCACCTCACCTCACCTCACCTCACCTCACCTCACCTCACCATATGTCTTATACTCCGGTATTTGTATCAGTGGATGAGGCACCAGCAGCCAGCACAGATACGAAGGAAGAGTCTGCAGCTCCCCCTGATGGCTCAGAGGAAACAGGAGCCGGAGCAGCTGGAGGAGGAACCGGAGTGGCGAAGGAGGAACTGATGGGAGCCTGTGGGGGATCTGAGGCTCCCATGACAGTCAGTGATCTGCTCAAGCAGCAGGTAGGGCCTCACTCATAGTGTCAGTGATCTGCTCAAGCAGCAGGTAGGGCCTCACTCATAGTGTCAGTGATCTGCTCAAGCAGCAGGTAGGGCCTCACTCATAGTGTCAGTGATCTGCTCAAGCAGCAGGTAGGGCCTCACTCATAGTGTCAGTGATCTGCTCAAACAGCAGGTAGGGCCTCACTCATAGTGTCAGTGATCTGCTCAAGCAGCAGGTAGGGCCTCACTCGTAGTGTCATGGGTTGACAGTCAGTGATCTGCTCAAACAGCAGGTAGGGCCTCACTCGTAGTGTCATGGGTTGACAGTCAGTGATCTGCTCAAACAGCAGGTAGGGCCTCACTCGTAGTGTCATGGGTTGACAGTCAGTGATCTGCTAAAGCAGCAGGTAGGGCCTCACTCGTAGTGTCAGTGATCTGCTCAAGCAGCAGGTAGGGCCTCACTCGTAGTGTCAGTGATCTGCTCAAGCAGCAGGTAGGGCCTCACTCGTAGTGTCATGGGTTGACAGTCAGTGATCTGCTCAAGCAGCAGGTAGGGCCTCACTCGTAGTGTCAGTGATCTGCTCAAGCAGCAGGTAGGGCCTCAGCCTGCATGTAGTGTCATGGGTTGACAGTCAGTGATCTGCTCAAGCAGCAGGTAGGGCCTCAGCCTGCATGTAGTGTCATGGGTTGACAGTCAGTGATCTGCTCAAGCAGCAGGTAGGGCCTCACTCGTAGTGTCATGTGTTGACAGTCAGTGATCTGCACAAGCAGCAGGTAGGGCCTCAGCCTGCATGTAGTGTCATGGGTTGACAATGGCTTGTGGCAGTGTACCTCTACAGCCAAGCTAGAGAGAACAACCAATGAGCGGTGCATCTTCCCAAGGCAAGGGAGTTAACTGACCATAAAAGTCCAGTTTCCACCCTTGGCTGGAATTTCCAGAAATTTTGTAGTGCTACCAGTGGCTAGTATGAGTTATGTCCCTTCTATGTCCCTCCTATAGTCCAATCAGATTCCACCTCTGATATCACTTGCATTTGCTTCAAACAAAATGGCGGCGCCCAGTCAAGATGATCTGATCGCTAATCAAGATCTATATTGTAATAAAACCTGAAGTGCATCAAATCACTTGAGCACCTTGAACATGTAAAGATTTGCAAAATATCTGTCGACGTTGATGGTACGTACATGTTTGTGTACATGCTTTGCAAATCCTGTAATTGGCAGAAATCTGCACATTGAAATCCATGTTGTTTATGAACTAGATGTCTAGTTCGTTACGCGATTTTGATTGGACTATGCATATACTCATTAGGCCAGCCAAAATGTTACTCTGGAATTCCAGCTTATGGAGGCAAGGGTTGAAACTGGATTTGTACAGTAGGTTAACGCCCTTGCCTTGGGAAGATGTGAGACTGATGATCTATACTACTCAAAAGAAGTTAAAGAACACCCGATTGTTTCATATTACTATAGTTAATCTGTCTTGGCATGTGAGATTAACTATAGTAATATGAAAGAATTGATCCCTCGATATACCGCTGTCATCGGGGTCCAAGAAACTGACCCCGCGGTGTAGGAAAGAGCAGTGTACAGATATTCCTTGCTGAGGTTCACATTACGTAATGATGGTAGTGAATGGAACAGTGGCGCAATTATTTCACAGTGGCATGGGACATGTAGATCTATGTAACACTGATCGTGGACGATGATTCAAACTGCATGCGTAAAAAAAATAAAAATACTTTGTGTAAATTAATCAAAGTAGTCTGTATTATTTTACGACTGGATGTTATACATGTGGAATCTAAATAAATGTTGTTATATTTTAAGTTTTTCGGGAGAAAATTGGTCCGATCGCGACCTACTCACATTATCCATCGATGACAGTACATTACAAAGCCAAACCAGCCTTGTCACGAAACTAATGTGCAACCAAGGCTGTGATTGGTTAATAAATAATGACGTGTCAAAGTTATGAAAAACCCAGACACGGCCGGCTCTCTGTATGCACTTTATGTACAATGTACATTGACATGATATGCGTAACTACACGGTCATTTGAGCGATTTATAAAAATCAAACACAAACACAAACGTATATTTGAGTGGATAAGAGATATATTGAGTTCTGTTAATAATGATAATTATGCAAAGGGAAAATTGCACTCAAAATTCTTGATACCATGCAACTGGTGTGTGTACATGACGTAATGTATGAACACATTTCTATTTACTGAAAAAGTCACTAATTTTCGATTGTTTCTGACTGTCACGTTCCTCGTTTCTCACGATCTCCAACTTGTCTTTAATAGTGTACGCCTGTCGCTTAGATTAACTCGCAGTGGTTGCAATGATTGAAATGGTAAAGACTAATGAACTAAGATTTATTTTATACCCTTCGTAATTACGCTATTTAAACAATGAAGTTCCAATGTTTTTTATAGGTCTCTCACGGTTACTCAAGTCCGGATTAAATACCGGAAGCCATTGTTTCGATTGTTGTTATTGCATTACACGCGGCCGGTTTGAAGTTCAAAGACATCTCACATGTTGTCTTACTAATCACAACAAGCTGAGATGAGTATTAAATGAAACAATGTGGCTTATGTTTGTTGTTGCTGTGATTTGATTTTATGTGAGTTTAATGCCAGATCTGTGTACGATATGTTTTTTCACAACCCGAACAAAAGGCAGAATTGTTTCGATCACATTCAGCCGGATACAATGAACGTAATTGTTTTACAAATACACACACGTTTACATCGACTTGGAATTAAATTTCATCAGTTTATTTGTAACTTTATTTGCTTTAAAGCGCTTTAAAGCGCTTTAACGCGTTTAACGCGCTTTTAGGGAAAATTCTTCATGCATTTTGGGAGCCATGGTTTACCCTGCGGTGCATCCAGAGTAGCGGTACATCGAGTAGCGTTAAGTCGAGGGACCACTGTATTTTGTGATCATGGATCTTTGACGAAGGAGTCACAGCAATGATTTATAGTTAAATAATAGAGAAATCATGACAATCTGTTTATCCAACAGACTCGAGTGATTTCTCCAACGTAAACAATGTATTGGTTGATGTGTAATTTCTCTATAATTTTGCACAATGACTTATGACCTGTAGTGGCATCAGTTTTACTGAATCTTTTCGTGAACATCATGTCCTCACTATTTGATAGTGATTCATTGACACATGCTCATGATGTAGTCGGAATAGTACAATTGTCTCTACCTTCCGTTGATATTTCTTATGAATATGGAAATGGTTTTGTCACTTTTATTTACACAAAATGCACGTTCAGAATGGAGAGTGAATTCCTGGCTCAGATTCACCTGCAACAACAATGATGTGCAGTGTCATACTGGCTTGAAGCTAGATAATGCTAGCAGTTGAAGCTAGATAATGCTTGATAGTTGAAGCTAGATATTTCTTGACAGTTGAAGCTAGATAATGCTTGATAGTTGAAGCTAGATATTTCTTGACAGTTGAAGCTAGATATTTCTTGACAGTTGAAGCTAGATAATTCTTGACAGTTGAAGCTAGATAATTCTTGACAGTTGAAGCTAGATATTTCTTGACAGTTGAAGCTAGATATTTCTTGACAGTTGAAGCTAGATAATGCTAGCAGTTGAAGCTAGATATTTCTTGATAGTTGAAGCTAGATATTTCTTGATAGTTGAAGCTAGATATTTCTTGACAGTTGAAGCTAGATATTTCTTGACAGTTGAAGCTAGATAATGCTTGATAGTTGAAGCTAGATATTTCTTGACAGTTGAAGCTAGATATTTCTTGACAGTTGAAGCTAGATATTTCTTGACAGTTGAAGCTAGATAATGCTTGATAGTTGAAGCTAGATATTTCTTGACAGTTGAAGCTAGATATTTCTTGACAGTTGAAGCTAGATATTTCTTGACAGTTGAAGCTAGATAATTCTTGACAGTTGAAGCTAGATAATTCTTGACAGTTGAAGCTAGATAATTCTTGACAGATGAAGCTAGATAATTCTTGACAGTTGAAGCTAGATATTTCTTGACAGTTGAAGCTAGATAATTCTTGACAGTTAAAGCTAGATAATTCTTGACAGTTAAAGCTAGATAATTCTTGACAGTTGAAGCAAGATAATTCTTGACAGTTAAAGCTAGATAATTCTTGACAGTTACAGCTAGATAATTCTTGACAGTTAAAGCTAGATATTTCTTGACAGTTAAAGCTAGATAATTCTTGACAGTTGAAGCTAGATAATTCTTGACAGTTAAAGCTAGATAATTCTTGACAGTTACAATTAGACAATTCTTGAAAGTTACAGCTTGTTACATTGGACAAGCAGCTATTTGTTATGAGAACAGATGATTGTTGAACACTGGACTTGTAGCTCAATCCCATAGGTCATCTTGGCTATCATCACACTAATTTCTATTAACCAGTAAAAGCTCTTTTCATCGAACTCTCGTCATGTTGCAAACAGTAGGCCAGGGTTGAGTTACGAGGGGTGTTCATTAAAGATTTCCCCTAAACCACTTAGGGTTATCATATTTGGTTGAAATTTCACATGTGTAATGATACATGTATCTATGGGTTATGTCTGAATTTGCAGCACCGAACTATTAATCTTACCACTTTTACAGGTGTTATGATCGAGTAGGGTGTGACAATGGAGCCAGTAGAATACCGAGCGGTGATTAGGTTTTTATATTTGAAAGGTCGCACACCAAAAGAAACTTTCGATGAAATGAAAAGCAACTTATGGGGAAGATGCCCCATCATATGACGTTGTTAAACACTGGCATCGCCAGTTCAAGTGTGGTCGGACATCTGTGGAAACAGCTGCCATTCCTGGTCGCCCCCATTCAGCCATTGATGAGGACACTATCCATCAAGTGGAGACCACCATTTTGGCAGACCAACGTATAACTGTTCGCCAGTTAGCACAAGATGTCAAGATCAGTGTAGGGTCTGTGGAAAAAATCATCCATGACAATTTGAACATGCATAAGGTGTCTGCACGATGGATTCCCAGGTTG